TGAGCCATCTATCTAGCCCCAAATGTATTTTTCTATGCCCTTAGTTTGTTTCTTGTTCTTTTATACCCATGATTTTAAAATGTGGTCCTTTGGATTCCCCTGGAACTGGAGTTAAGGATGGTTCATAGCTGCCATGTGGGTGCTGGGAATCGAACCTAAGTTCTCAGCAAGAGCAGTCAGTGCTTTTAACTACTGAGCCATCTCTCCAGCCCTCCACTGGGTTTTAAATTTTGATTTATTGAGCTTTTCATTTCTGTAACTTTGCTTAGGTTTTTTTTCTTCAGTATTTCTTATCACTATGAATTCCTCATTCATATCCTGTATTGGCTTCCTTATTTCATTTGGCTGTGTATATATCTGTTCTCTTTGAATTCATTCAGGAATCTGTGTCCTCTTTGATTTCATTGGACATTCTTATGATCATTCTTTTGAATTCTTTGGTATTTCATCTGATTTTCTCTCAGTAGGCTCCATTACTGTGGAATCAATAATTTTCAGAGAGATTGTATGACATTTTTTGTTCATCTGCATTGAGAGATTTGCATATTTGTAATTATGTCATCATTCAGATTTTTTGAAAATCACTCATATTCTTGTAGTTGAAGTTTTTACAATATTCTAGTGAGACTAGATTGTCATAGGATTGAAATGTCATTCCTTGCATCTGAACTGGGGGTTTAGTTCAGTAGTTAACCTCTCAGGATGCATGCTCAGGGCACCAAGCATGATCTCTAGTACCACATTGGGAGTAGAGTCTTAACTGCAGAAGCAATCACAATTGATTGGTAGACGTGCTATGAAAGTACAGTAATAGTTAAAAGCAATTACCCCCTCAATTCCAAAAACTTTAGGGGAATAAGGTTCAAAGGTAGTGTGGTGTATAATAAGCTATTAGTTACTAAGGTAGGAATGCAAAGAAAATAAGCTAAGACTAGGAATTAATATAAGAAATAGAGGAGGAAAAAATAAACAGAAGGGGGTATCAGGAAGAGGAGTGGAAAGAGGCATAGATAGGAGTGGAAAAGGAAGCAACTAATCTTAGTAATCCAGATTGACCATAATTATTAGTGTGGGAGCTGACCTGCAGGAATTGAAGCAGCAACCTTCAATTCAAGGGGCAGGAAAGTTTGAGTATGTGAGGATAGAGTTATGAAGGTTGGTGTTTCTAAAGAACCTGGGGCCTGATAAGGGCAAAAGGACCTGTTTACAGAACAGGAATCACTTTATGGCTAGGGGTGGTATGTTCAGGGGGAGATGGCATAGTTTCAAAACAGGGGCTAACAATGCTCTGATAAGGCCTGTCAGCAGGAGTATGGTTTATGACCAGTGTGTTTGGGGGGGTATTGTTTAGATTATTGGAACTTTAAAGATTTCTTAATTAGGAGCTGGAGAGATAGCCATCAGCTAAAATCACTGGCTGCTCTCATAGAGAACTAGAGTTCAGGTCCCAGCACCCACATGGCAGCTAGCAACTGTCTACAACTCTAGTTCCAGGGAATCCGATGCCCTCTTCTGGCCTCCCTGGGCACTGGTTGCACATGGTGCATATATATACATGCAGACAAAACTCTCATACATATAAAATTAAAATAAATAAAATCTTTTTTAAAAAGAGTAAGCAATACAAACAGCAAAGAGAACACAATAGAGTAGATGCTGAAACAGAATAAGTATAAAATCCAATCAAACAATGTAAAACCTAAAATAAAATTATGTAAAAGTGAAGATATTTTCAAAACAATGTAAAATGAAAACACAATAAAAATATTATGTCACCAGTCAGCATTTCTTCCTTGTTATGGCATTAGGCAACATCCTTTCCTTCTTGAATCTTAATGGATCTAAATTTCTCACCACCAAAGTCTCCATTTCAGACCTGCTTGACCAGATTGGCAAGTATGCAGAGTCTCTAGAGCTTCAACAGGTTGCTTATGGGATTGAATTTCTGCCCTGCTGGCATCAGCAGTGGTCAGCCCTCTCTTAGGTCAGCCCTCAGCATGGGCTTGTCACTTCTAAATACTTCACAGCCAGCCAAATCCTGTGTTGTGAATATTCTGGGTGGTCCCATTTTCCCATTTGCATGGATTTCAGTGTCCAGGGTTCTGATGTGGCCCTGTAGATATTCATGTTTACTTTTGTATTTGGATATTTTCATCTTACCAGGGCTTGAGCTGCCTGCACTCACTCCATGTCTTAGCTTGAATATGCTTGCTTCTCTGAGTTTTGGTTGAGCTCAGCTCCTGTGGGGTGTTCACATTATTCTATGGTTCTCCGGGCCTCAGTGCTCTAAGTGGATGGACAGGAATTTGGGTTGTTTTTCTGGTTCATTTGCTTGTTTTGGGGAGATGTGGATTATTGAAGTTAGTTGCAGAAGGAAGTTTGGTTGAAGACTTTCTTTTGAGATCTGCTCCTTCCTTGCCCTACATAATATGTGGGGTTTTATTTGTTTTTTGCTTGTTTGGTTTTTTTTAGAGATATCACTGTGTTTTACAGACTGGCCTTGAACTCTGATTTGGATAGTCCACCTTCCTCAAAGTACAGGGAAATACCACCAGGCCTAGTTCTTTATGTATGTTCCTAGGGATTGAACCATTGGGTCTTTTGCATTAAAGGCAAGTCAACTGTTTGTCTCTGTCTCCAACTCCAGTGCTGGGGTTATAGAAGTATGCTGAAGGACTTGGCCTTTATGTGGGTGCTGGGGAGCCACATGAGCCACATCCCCAGCTTGCTAGCTTCTTTAATAGTTGAAATTAATTTCAGAACTGTCACCAAAGTGAAGGGACAACCTATTGTGAAAGAAATCATTGCTAACTACACATCAGACTGGAGATTAATATCAAAAATACATAAAGAACTATAAAAATTAAATGCCAAAACACCTCATTATCTACTCAATAAATGGGCTAATGAAATGAATAGATAATTGTCAAAGGAAGAAATACAAATGACCAATAAATATTTTTAAAATTGTGCAACATCTATAGCTATCAAGGAAATGCGAATAAAAATGATTTGAGACCCCATCTTACCTCATTCAGAGTGGCTGTCATCAAGAAAACAGAAGACAGCAATGTTGGTGATGATGTTGGGAAACAGCAACCCTCATACACTGTTTCTGAGAATGTAAACCTAGACAACCATTGTGAGAATCAGAATGGCAGTTTCTCAAAAAGTGAAAATAGAGCCACCATTTGACCTACTGAATCGTATACCACTGTGGGCGTATACCCAAAGGACTATTTCTTACCATAGAGATACTTGCATATCCATGTTCATTGCTGCTCTATTCATAATAGCTAAGAAATTGAACCAGCCAAATGGCCATCAGAAGATGAGTGGATTAAGAAAATATGGTAAAAAAAAGATGAAATAATGACATTTGTAGGAAAATGGATGCAACTGGAAATCATAATTAAGTGAAATAAAGTTGACTGAGAAAGACAAATACCACGTTTTCTGTCACGTGTAGAACATAGATTTAAAATTCTGCGCGCGCGCGCGTGTGTGTGTGTGTGTGTGTGTGTGTGTGTGTGTGTGTGTGTAGTGGGTTATGAAACTAGGGAGGATACCTTGGGGGAGGAAGGGATAGATCTTAAAGGGGGAAAGAGAAGGTAATTTAATACATGTGAAATGAAAATAGAAAGGGAGAGTCTTCATGGGAGGGAGGAAGGGAACTAGGCAGAGGAACGTAACAGGCACAGAGGACAGTAGGAGAGGGGGGTGAATTGGAACAAAGAACAATGACTCATGCAGGAAATTGCTATAATAAAACTCATTACTTATCTGAAATTCAGTAATAATTTAAAAAAATAATTCATGCTGTTTTCCTTTTCAAGTAACTTTATTACATTTTACCTTTAAGGAATTAATCTATTTTGTCTAGGTCAATATCAGCTATTGATCTACAAAAGCAGCCTAACACAATGACTATTATGGATATTTTGAATATTGGAGTCAAAATAACTTGTCTAACTTTTACTACTTACTGTACTGTGTTATTCTACATTTGATTGTTGAGATTAGTTGTTTCATGGCTCTGTGTTGTCAGTGTTCCCACAAGGGAAGGTAAACTGGAAAGGCAGTGTTTTAGTTTGCTTTCTTTTGAAACTATGATAAACACCATGAAAAAAAGCAACCTGGGGAGGAGAGGGTTTATTTCATCTTACAGGTTAGTTCATTACTGAAGGGAGGCCAAAGCAAGAGCCTGGAGGCAGGAGCTAAATCAGACCCTGAAGGAATGAATGCTGCTTACTGGCTTGCTTCCAGATTCACTTTCAGCTACTTTTCTTATACAGTCCAGGCCAACCTGCCTATGCATGGCATTGCCCACAGTGGGCTGGGTCCTCCCACATCAGTTAACAATCAAGAAAAGGCCCCAAAGACATGGGCCAACCTGATGGAGGAAATTTTCAATTGAGATTCAGTTTGTGTCAAGTTGACAATAAAAACTAACCAGTACAGGCAGAACAGTAGGCAAGAGAATCCAAGGAAGGAGTTTTGGTTAGAAGAGCATGGCCAGAAGTATCAAAGAAATGTTTAAAAGAGGATATAAGGAAATCTTAGACATGATGGACAGATCTTATTTACAATGTAAACAGTGGTTAAGGTTTTAGTCTTGGAGTTTAGCTTTGGAATTTTTAGCTAAAGAAATTATAACTATATTCTTTTCTCATTTTTTTAAGCCCAAGTACAAATTTACTGACAGGGAATTTGGGGAGCTTTTATTCCTTCTTTTCATCTTGTACATATCACAGCCCAAACCCATAATTTTATGAAGCTTTCACTTTCTAAAATTTCTAAAGTGCTTTTTAAAAAACCCAATTCTGAATTGGGGCAGTTCTGATTTGGCTAACTGGCAGTGTGCCCCTTCAGTTCAGGCCCAACATCAAAGTCTCTTGAAATTCACTGTGGAAGCTTATGACAGTATTGAGCCCCATATCTGTCAATAGCCTATTTAAATGTACTATTAAAAATGTCTTTGTCTTTTCGTTTAACTGTAGGAACTTGTGTCCCTGAAGCCCTGTAAAGCTGCAGAGCTCATTGCTACCCACTTTTCTGGACAGATTGAAATAGTCATTAAAAAACTTCAGGTAAGTATAAGCATACACTGGGGAAAAAGGCATCTTTACCTAAGAACTTTTAACTGTAGTAAGTTCTTAAATTGATAGTTGCTAGTAGTTGTATGGTAGTGTCCAAGTGTTGAAATGAGGGAGTTAATTTTTGTATAGCAAATATTAATATCAAAGAAACATATTTGAAGCTCTAACCTACACTTGTTCTAGAAATCATAATCTAGAGAAAATCCTCCCATTTTACTTTCTTAAAAGCACCCCCAACTCTATTCTATTGATGGTTCATGTTGCTTTCCAAATTTTGTCCCCTCAATTTGTGCCAGTGGTAACATTTTAGAATTTTTTCATGGACTGTCTTCTCTAGCACATAGCTACATGCATGTTGAATACTGAGAAGTTCTGTTAGAAATCCTAAGTCCTAGTATTGCATACTGTCTTATTGCTTAACACAACAGTGCTAGTGTTGAGGTGACTTGCTTCCATTATGGCCACAAGATAAGAGGTGGCCAATAGGACAATGTCGGAGACATGAAGTACAACCCAGAGTCTTTGTAATAGTTGTAGGAAATAACTGCAAGAAACGAAAAAAGCAAGTAAGTTGGGAGGCATGTGAGACAAAGCTGTGGAATTCATTCATTCAAACCCTTGTTGTGGCCAAACTCTGTACTGTCATACACACTTAGTTCTGAGGACATATTTATGTAACTAGAGTATAATGCTATGAGAGCTATACTTGAGATGAGTTAAAAAGACTGTGGGAACAAGAGAAAAGAGTGATGGACTGTGACAAAATAAGATAAGAATTCCTAGAGCTGACTGAATTAGGTCTGGTATGACAGGTGTCGGTTTTCCAAACAGAGGTGAGGAAGGCTTTCTTGATAAAAGACTCTGAGTATGTAAAGACTTACAGACATTATGCTACACATAATGTTTTTGGAGAATGGTCAGATCTATATGAAACATGAAGTAGTAGATGTGATGTGGTAGTGGCTTTAGAGAAAACAAGAAGCAGTATTTTAGAAGTGGTGAGGTAAAATTACAGACCCTAGAAAATAGAGACGGGCTTGGAAATATATATAATACTAAGAAATTTATATTTCTGTATATTAGAGAATTACCAGAATGTTTTAATCAAAGGATGACATCATTAGATCCACTTTATAGAATGCTAATTCTGGCTAGCAGTGTCCAGAGTAGACTGACCAAGTACAAATGGAGCAGAAACCACTTGGAAGGCAAAAGGTCTCAGCAAAGGAGATGATGACCGGAAGAAAGTCAGTGTCAGTAGAGGAGACAGGTCCCTGATGCATTGTGGACTTGGAAAGTAGTTCAACATGATGGGAAAATATTAAAATGGTTCCCAGGTTATTCAACATTCGGTTCACTAACTCAAGCATTCGCCCATTCATTCAGTAAGTATTTATGCCATGTGGCCAAAAACATTAAGTACTGAGGATAATATATGAAAACAGAAATGGAAATAAGAGGAAAACCTAAATGTGATCTTGCCCTCCAAGGAAGAAGACAGTTAAGGCAAAGGGCAGTTGCAGAATAGTTTGGCTGGAATAATGCTAAAGAACATGGAAGGGTTCATATCCAGGCTGGGGCCTGGGGCTCGAAGCTACTTCACTTACACCAGTCATAACCCTCCAGGGCTTCTCTCCTTAAAAATCAGCTCTGATAAATCTTGCCTGTTCCGATCTGTTGGTATTATCTTTTAAAGGTGTAAGATTAACAATTGCAGTATTTTTTCCCCTGTAGTCTATAACGATATTAAGAGACAGGCCTGGTGAAGGAAATATTACACACACACACACAAACACACACACACACACACACACACACGCACACGCACACACACACACGCACACACACCAGTGTAATGGATAAGGAAAAGGTGACTATTTAATTGTGGTCTAATTATTGAGTCCTATACAGTTCTTTTAAAGAATTTTATCTTATTGTCAAGCTTTATTGATTGTACAGGAAACCCATACAGATCTTATAAAGTACCTTTACCTTTGATGGCAAACAGTTTGCCTCTGAATAATAGTTGTCAAAATTCTTGGAATGTTAAGTTATAACCAGGAGGAAAATTGTGTAAAATAAAACTAAGCAACAGGGAGAACAGGAAATCAAAGAGTGATGAACAGATTTATCAGAGTGATAATGACTAATGAATATACATGGGTCTGTCTTTTTAAGGACTAACATATATTTCTGTACATACATACATATATACATTCAGATAAATGTTTATGTGTGCATGTTTTGTGTGTGAGTGTGAGAGACACATGCCTTCCCCCTCTTCCAAATCAAAGCCTGGACCTTTGCATGCTAGGCAAGGACTCTACGTCTGAACTACATCTTTAGTCATAAATATATTTAAAAACTGTATTCTGAATGATACTATTATTTTTACTTTAGCTACCTTCTGCTTTTTATAGACATTTTAATGCATAAAAAGATAAAGTAGAAAAACTAAACAATAATAATTTTTACTTAGGATTCCTAAGAACTTAGAAACTATATGTTTTTATAAGGAGTTATCTCAATTTAATCTTCACTACTACCCTATGACAAAGGCAGGGATGTTACAGCTGGGATGGTGGTAGTGGTGGTGGGTTTTTTTCTTTTCCACATAAAGAAACTGAACGCTAAGAAGCTAAGTGACTCACATAATCGTATACCTAATGAGTGTCAGAAACAGAACCCAGGCTTTCTTGCGTATTGATACCTAATGCTTTGAAGTTGTTTTTGATTCTAGTGAAGAGATGATGAGTGGGTTTCAGTGGTAGTTGTTCATTTAAGCCACCAGTACCCCCTATTAACTGCCTCACAGCAGGCCCTTGCCAATAGGAGGAGGACAGGTCAGGCAGCTTGAGACTGTCCATATAGCCCAAGCTCACTGTCAGCAGAACAGCTCCAAACACTGGCCACTTGAGGTCCTCATGCTAGGGACAGTTTGGTTAGGAATTTGTTTCAGCATTTGTCCTAAAATTTTTTAATTTGTTTTTATTGAATTTTTGTGTATTTCATACAGAACATCTCAATCAACCTTAATCATCTTTATACCCCCATCCCCACTGGCACCCTCCCATAGATAATAGGGTATGTTCCTGCACTCAAATGTGAATATGGAGCTGGGCATAGTGGTGTACACCTTTAATCCTAGTACTCTGGAGGCAGAGGCAGGCAGATCTGAGTTCAAGGCCAGACAAGTCTACATTGTGAGTTCCAGGCTAGGCAGGGTTAAACAGTGAGACCCTGTTGTACCTGCCACCCCCAAAACAACATCAAAAGTGAATATGATGGTGATTAGAGCTGTTTTGTGCAGGATTGCCAGGTTCTTCCTCAGCATGCCATAGGTCTACATAGAGGCTTCATGGAAACAGAAATATGTGCACTTTAAAGAGGCTGTCTAGAGTAGTTCTTTACTCTCTGGATATAGGATGCTATTTTCAGAGGTAGGAACATCTGATAGATGAAGTAGCCAATGGATGAATCCGGTTGATTGGGAGAAAGCACCAGTCCAGTGCAACAGAGTTTATTAGCAAAGGAACATGTGGGACAGATTCCCTTCGGGGTAGGGAAAATGTCTACCCTGGGTGGTGAGCTGGGGTCTTTTATAGGGGGAGGCTTCTGAGGGGTGCAGAAGGTGGGAAGATATATATTTTTTAAAAGTTAGGCAGGGAAAGTGGGAGAGCGGGACTGTTAAAGAGATCAAAGGGGAAGCCTGCTCTGTTGGCCAAACAGTGGAGAAAAGTCTGCTTCTCTTGACTTCAAAGACCAGGGTGCTTATTAACTCCTTTTCCCTTTTCTCAGGGGCTTACAACGTCCTTGAGGCCCTGTTGGTGAGGGGGCGGGGCTATCTGAACCTTAACATTTACCATTACATAATTTAGGAAATCTAATATTTAATTATATTTTTTATTTCCCTATTCAGAACCAGGTTTTGCTTTTCAAATTTTTGAGGAGTCTTCTTGACCCAAGGTATGTCATAAGCTTTAGTTTTTCATAATACTTATGTTAAAAAATAAATTAATTGAAATTAGATACTGGCCCATCATTCAAATAGTAAATAGTTCATTTCTGTCAATTTATTAACCCTCACTTTAGATTAACTTCCTGATAGTGCAGGAAGGAAAGTTTAAGTGTGTTTTTTCAACTGCTGCTCTAAAATGATCAAATTATGATGAAACAAAACCCAGGAAATGATCAAATCAGTAATGGATTTTTGAGCAAAGCAGGTTCACGTGTGAGATTCATATGCTTGATTGCAGCTAGGTGGAATGCACTGGGAGTAGAGTGTAATGACATGTAACGTGCTCTGAGTAACTCTTTTATTTATTATTATGCTGGGTTACGGAAGACCATTCTTATGCAACTCCGAAAACCCCACTACCCTCTCCTCTCATTTGTCCCTTTTCCCCCTAGACAACATTGCTTCTACTTTAATGTCATTTGTACATACATGCTTTATCTAAATCTGTGACTTACAAATGAGAGAAAACATGGAATTTTTGTTTTTCTGAGACTGACTTAATTCACTTAGTATGATTACATACAGTTGTAAATACTACATTTTCATTCATCTTTATGACTGGAAAAATTCCATTATATACAGTACAGTATATATACACAACTGTTATGAATAGTACTGCAGTAAACTTTGATGTGCCATGTTAACCGATCTGATAAATTGACTTGGAGCCTTTGGGGGTAAATACCCAGAAGTGGTATAGCTGGGTCGTATGGTAGGTATATCTTTAGTTTTTTGAGGAACGGCATACTAATTTCATAGTGGCAGGTACTAGTGGCAGAGGTAATTTACACTCCCTTTGGCAGTTTTTAAGTATTTGCTTTTATCTGCATCCTCACCTGCATTTGTTATTTGCCTTATGATGATTGTCATTCTAACCAAGATGAGATAGAATCTCAGTGTTTTTGTTTCCATTTATCTGCTATTGAGGTTAAACTTTTCTTGTATCTTTATTGGCTCTTCTTCATCTTGAGTTCTTTTTATATTCTAAATATTAGTCATCTGCCAAATGTATAGCCAGTTAAGAGCTCCCATTCTGTAGATTGTCTTTTTAGATAGTTTCCTTTGATGTACAAAAGCTTTTTAATTTTATGAAGTCCCTTTTTGTTCATTGTCAGTGCTAGTTCCTGAGGTTCCTGAGTGACTAGCGTCCTATTCAGAAAGTGCTTGTCTATGCTAACAATTAAAATGTTTTCCCCTTTTCCTCATCAATTTTAGAGATTTGGGTTTTATATTAAGGTCACTTGGAGTTGACTTTCATAGAGGGTGAGACATAGGGAATTAATTTCATTATTATACATGTGGATATACAGTTTCTCCAGCATCATTTGTTGAAGATGCTGTCTTTTCTCCAATGTACATTTTGATGTTTTTGTCAAAGATCAGGCAGTTGTAGCTATATGAGTTTATATATAGATCCTCTATTCCATTGATCTCTGCATCTGTTTTCATGCCAGTATCGTGCTGTTTTTGTTACTGTGGCAGTACAGCCTGAAGTCCGATATGTTGCCAACTCCAGCATTGTTCTTTTCCCTAGATGCTCTGGATGTCCAGGGTCATTTTTTAGCACTGTGAAGAATGATGTTGGAGCTATGATGGGATTGCTTTGAAGCTGTAAATAGCTTTTGTTAGTACGGCTATTTTCACAATATTAATTCTTCCATTCTATGACCATGAGCACTCTCTCCATTGATTTCTTTCTTCAGTGTTTCAATTTTTCATTGTTGAATTATTTTACTTCCTTGGTTAGGCTTATTCCAATGTTTTGAATGAATTGTTTTCCTGATTTTTTTCATCATGTTTTCTGTTGGAATACAGGAATGCTACTGATTTTTGTATATTGATTTTGTATCCTGGCGCTTGGCTTTAAATAAAGTCCTACAGGTTCCTGTGACCTTGCTCATGAACCTACAGCAATGGTGTCAGCATGCACAAGACCATTGCAATCTCAAGCAGACAAAAATCCAGCACAGAACTTTGAAATGGGCAGCAGGCCCCAATCTTAGTCAAGGAATTATTGGTAGTTGACTACTGCTGAATGAGGAGGAGCTGGTCTTCTTAAAGGGAGGGATTCTAGATAGGCTGACTAGACCCCAGTGGATGAACCTGCAATGAGGGATGCCTGATAACTTGACATGATAGGCCTTAACACAAATGATAGAATGTATAAATTCCAGTTGGTGGAGGTGGGGGAGTTGTTGGAGGGTGCCAACAGGGAAGGGGGTATAAAGATGGTTAAGATGTTCTATATGAAATACACAAAAATTCCATTAAAAAATTTACCAAAAAAAGCCAAGTTAAGTTTAAAAGAGTTTTCTGGTGGAGTCTTTAAGGGTCCCTTATGTATAGAATCATATCATTTTCAAATAAAGATACTTTGATGACTTCATTTACTATTTTAAAAAATATTTTATTTATTAGTTTTATTTTATTTTATGTGTATGTGGTGTATTGCCTGCATGTAGGTAAGTGCACCCATGTCGTGCAATGCCCGCGGAGGACAGAAGAATCTGTCAGATCCCCTGGAACTGGAGTTAAAGTTGTTAGCTGCCATGTGGGTGCTGGGATTTGAATCTGGGTCTTCTGCAAGAACATCCAGTGTTCTTAACTGCTGAGCCATCTATTTCCCTCTCTTGTCTTATTGCTCTAACTCAGAGTCCAAGCCTTACCTTGAATAAGAATGGAGCAAGTGGACACCCTTGTATGTTTATTTTAGTGGAAATGCTTTCAGTTTTTCTACACTTAGTATAATGTGGGCTTACTTGTTTGTCATATATAGCCTTTATTTTGCTGCAGTGCATTCCTTCTATTTCTAGTCTTTTCAGAACGTTTATCATGGAAAGACATTATATTTCATCCAAAAAAAATCTTTTCTGTATCTATTGAGATGATTATTACTGATCCCTACCCTTGAGCTCATTTTTGTGACATATTACATTTACTGATTTGTATGTTCAATCATCCTTGTGTCTCTGTAGTGAAGGCAAATTGATCATGGTGAATGATTTTTTAATTAGCATATGTGATGGTTTAAATGAGAATGTCCCCCATAGGCTCCAAGTATTTGGACACTTTGTCCCCACTTGGTGGAGCTATTTTGGGAGGTCTTACAAGGTGTGGCTATGCTGGAGGAAGCATGACACTGGGGGTGGGCTTAGAGAGCTCTTAAGCCTTGCCAGATCTCTAGTCTTCTCATTTCCTGTGCCTGCTTGAAGATGTAAGAGGTTAGCTTCTGCTGCTCCTGCTCCAGTCACCTTTGCCACCATGCCTCCCCACCACGACAGACTGTAATTCCCTTGGAACTGTAAGCTCAAATAACTCTTCCTTTTATAAGTTGCTTTGGTCAGTGTTTCTTTCACAGCAAAAGAAAAGTAACTAGTACAGCATACAAAGTAGTGTTTCTTATGACACTTTCATCCATTTTTAGTTTGTTTGATCCCTCCCTGCCATACCTCTCTACCATATCCCTGCATACCTTACCCACTCATATCCTTCTGCCCCCCAGTTTTCCTCTTTCCCCTTTCATGTTATGTGTGTTCTAGAACCCTCTTGACCCTATCATCCTAAAGCCTCTTTCTCCCCTCTTTCTGCCTCTTTTCCTCTTTCCTGGGATCTTTTTTTGTTTCATGAGCTCTACCTATATTCCCACATAAATACACATTATATAAAGATTAAAAGCTAGGATCCACATTGTTTTCTTTCATGATTATGTTTTTTTGTTATGGCTCAATGACACGTCTTTGTGTATATATACCACATTTTGATCATCCATTCATCTGTTGATGGGCATCCAGGCTGATTGTATTTCCTGGCTGTTGTGAATAGTAATAAACATGTATGTGCAAGTAACTCTGTGGTAGGATATACAGTCCTTTAAGTATGTGACCAGGAATGGTATAACTGGGTCATATAATGGTCTTATTTTTAGTGTTGTAAGAAACCTCCACACTGGTTTCCATAGTGGTTGTACCCGTTTATACTCCTACCTGTGGTAAATGAGGGTTCCTCTTTCCTTACTTCCTTGTCCTGTTTAGTGTAATTTGTTCTTGATGAGAGCCATTCTGACTGGGGTAAGATGCAATCTCAAAGTAGTTTTGATTTGCATTTCTCTTATGGCTAATGATATTAAACACTTTTTTTTTTAAGGTCTTTTTTGAGACATGGTCTCCTTGTAGCCCCAGCTGTCCTGGAACTCACTATGTAGACCAGGCTGGCCTCGAACTCACAAAGATCCGCCTGCCTCTGCCTCCCAAATGCTGGGATCAAAGGTGTGTGCCACCATGCCTGGCGATATTGAACACTTTTTAAGATTAAGCTGGGTGTGGTGGCACATGCCTTTAATCCTAGCACTCAGGGGGCAGAGGCAGGCAGATCTCTGTGAGAGGGAGGCCAACCTGGTTTTAGTGAGTTCCAGCTCAACTGGGGCTACAGGCAGACCCTCTCTCAAAATATTATAACAACTGTCTATTCAGTTCATTGGTTCATTTATTTATTCAGTATTTAATTCTTACAGTTTTTAAACCCCCAGTCTGATGTGTAGCTGGCAAAGATTTTCTCCCATTATGTATACTGTCTCCTTACTCTGCTGATGGTTTCCTTTGCAATGCAGAAGCTGTAATTTTATGTGATCCCATTTGTCAATTTTTAATGCTATTTCATGTGCTTTTGTCATTCTGTTAAGAAAGTTCTTGACTGTACTCTGTATTGAAGTGTTTTCCCAATGCTGTTTGTAGCAGTTTCAGTGTTTCGGGTTCTAAATGGAATTCTTTGATCCCTTTGAATCGATTTTGTGTAGACATATGGATCTAATTTCATCTTCTTCAGGTGAATATCCAGTTTTACCAGCAACATTTGTTGAATCAGAAGTCTTATTTTCAGGGTATGTTTTTGACACTTGTGTGAATTTCTGTGTGGGTTTATTTATGATTCTCCCATTTTGCTCCATTGGTAA